ATCATATCCCAAAATTCTGGGAGAAAAGGTGGCAATTTAAGGCTTTCATTGACATTGGCAGGGAACCAAGTTCTGGTTTAAGACAAAAGGCATTTTCATCCTTTTCTCTTTTTTTACAGGTGCTCCTTCATTTTCATCTTTGAAAGGGAGTGAACAGTTACTTGCTTGTTAAAGTGCCTAACATCTTTATTCTTCCAAAAATGACATTATTTTTTTTGGTTTATCAATACTGTATCCATTAAAATATATATTTTTTTGATGAAGATCATTTTTGTGAATTGTTATGGTTCATCTTGCCTCTCAAAATCTATTTTCATTCAGTTCATATAAACTTGTAGAAAAACAATTTAATTTTCACATAGACATTTTGCAAACAGTAGAATTGGTAAAAATGTGTAAAAGGTGGATTTCTCACTTTTCAAATTTATTTGCTAAAAATGTCTTTTTAATCAAATTTCTACAAGGTTCTTAGACACATGCATGTTTTTTAGAACATTAAAAAATATATCAAGGGTCATTCTCACATGCAATTGGGAATTACGTTCTTAAAGCAATTTGGCAACGATGTATCAATAGTATATGCTTCCTCTCTCTTGCTCTCTAATTCTTGAAAGAGAGATATTAATACAGTGTAAGTACTACACAAACCACATCACATGGTGAAATGCAAAATTCAGAATTAATGCTTTCATGTAAAGACAATGCCATATTTTATTTATACGATTCTCGAATATAGGTGTCTTCCTTGAGCATCCTGGAAGGGATGGTATTGCCAGGGTCCTGTAAGAATAATAATCAGCAAGTGCACTTGGCAGTTTCTTCATCTGATCAATAAGGCATGATGAGGTTAAGTGACTTCTATCAGGAGACTTATGATTTGTTCTTTGTGCGTAACCTGACTGTGAAACCAGTCTTTGGAGCCATTACATCAGCAGCCTTTCCTTTGACATAATAGAGAAGAGTCACATGGCCATTCACTCAGATCCCTATTTCTTTTGAACCCGATTCTGTCTGTCTGACAATCAAAATAATTTGTATGAAATCAAAAGGAATAGAATTAAAAAGTAGGCATGGAAAGCCCTGCCACATATCCTAGCTGCTCTGCCCCATTTCTGACATGCCAACTTTCAAGAAGCATAGCCCATGTCAAATTGCTTGGTAATATTCACCTCTCATTTTTTCCGCCATATCAATAACTAGCTCTTGTCATCTTTAAAGTGCTTCTCAAACATTAAATAATCTCAGATTACACACTCTGTTCTTTGCATTTATCTTGACCAGCTGTCAGAGAAGGCAATTTATTCCCTCTCAATTTTATTCCTCTTGGCTCTGTGTGCCTTCTGCAGTCAATTTGAATGGAAAATGAAAGGTACAACTTAGTGTGTTTCATAGCAAGGGCAACACATAATTTTCTTAAAGCCGGATGACCTTCAGATTACTTTCAAATTGCTTGTGGCTTTGTGGTTGGATACTCAGAATATATTTTCATCACCTTTGAGTCTTGTTTAATTCCTAAGTGGAAATTTTGAGGATGTGAAGATAAAAAAAAAGGAACAATGACAAACATAACAGTATTAACTTTATCATTTTCATCTATTTAAAACTTGTACCATAATTATATTGACAGAATCATAAAGTGAATGAAAATTTGAAATTCATATTACGTCAATTTAAAAAATATAGAAGGTCATATTTTAGCTGAAAATTTGCATAACTTTATGAATTGATATAGCTTCTCATTTTATTGATCAAAGAAAGGAAAAAAATATAAAAATTTGTGTTCCTTCTTGAATTTTCTGCCTATTAAAAATGTGACCAAGATTCAACTGATTTGTATCAAATCTCAGTAAAATTACTCTTTGAGTTTCAAGATACCAAGCAAGTATGTAGGATGCCATAGACAGAAAATCCTCTGTAATATGCAACTCACTGAATGACTCTGAAGTGTAAAAGCAATTCTTCAGATGTTCTCCACTTAGTGGTGGTAGACAGCCTCCCAGAGGTTAAAAAACTGGAGGTTAGTGGATAAAAAAAATATCAACTTTCAGGTGAGCCACTCCTAAGCGCTCATAATTCGTTTACTCTCCTCCAAATCATTATTCCAAAGGTTTGATTCACTTGTAGCTCCACCTGGGTCTTAAATCTCATTTCAAAGCACTTCAATCATTCATCCATTTTAAGAACTACCATTAGGAGTGATGGCACAAAAATCAATGAAAGGATATGATATGAATTTTTTCTAATTTTTCCTGCTTTGAGTACCACCTCAAGTACAGTCTGTGAAATCTTTTTTATAGGGTATTTTTTTTTTTTCCATCTTGCTATCATTTCCACTAAATTGAGTTCATGAACTTGGGATCTGTTTTCTCCCAGGTATTTTTTTTTTTTTTCAGAAGAGAAAGGAGATTTGTTATCGCTATTGTTAATTTCTACCTAAAGTTATTTTAAAATATTAATTAAATTATTTACCGCTGATGTTTCTTATCAACTTTTCTTTTTCTTCCTCCTAGTTGGGATAACCTTATCAACTTTTTAATCGTTTAAAAATATAGGCCAAGATTGACCACTGTTATCTAAAAAATAGTTGTACTAGTTGTGTTTGATTATTACTATCTACTAATATGTACTCTTGAATGTATTTTGATTTTCTTTTTCCTGGGTCATCATAGAAATTTATGTTATTTGTCTTATTTTGTAAAGAGAAGGATAGTAATATTTTCTGATTAAAGAAACAAAAAGAATAAGACATTATTAACTAGAATACTTAATTTTGCAGGCAGTCTTTTTATTTCTTTCCCCAATACCTAAAAATTGTGTTACGAATTGTATTTATACTATAAGTATCCTATGTACATATTTGTTTGAAGGTTTCAAACTTTATTTTTTTAGTTTACAGAATTCTGATACTGATAATGTTTGCACTATAATGAAATCACTTAATCATTTTATTTGCTATAAGTCATCTCTCTCTCAATTTTGCTAATGGGGCAAAACAGTTTCTGCTTATATTATAACTTATAGTATGTGCTCCTCTTTTCCTATATTAGAAGAAATAAATTGATTGATGAAAAAGGATACTGAGGGAGTCAATGAATTTTTTTTTGTTCACCTTGAAATAGCTCAATGTACATGCTTATAAAATGGAAACAAATGCCTGTATTTATAGAAGAGTTAGTCCTTCAATCTTTGTTTCTGAGGTTAATCCTGCCTTTCTAGCCTTTCCTTAGAGTGATAGTAGTAGTCACAGTCATAATCATAGTGGTAGCAGTGGAGGTGGTGATAGTAGTAATGAAGATGGTGATGATGAAACACTGGTAATGTTGCAGTTTAGTAGTTGTTGTATTGCCATTTATGGAATAATTACCATGTACCAGGAAGTATGCCAGTTTGCATGAGTTATTTCCCAACCATCACAAACCTGCAAATTGAGGCTTCCCAATCTCATTCATCAGATACAGATGCTTCTCACTCAGAGGTGTAGTGTAATAGTGACCTTCTGGCCATTCAGGTGATGCTGGGAAGAGTTAGAAGTTAATCCCAATCTCTTCTCTCTACAACTCATGTCATAACTTTTTGCTTTACTGTTTCCATGCAAAAACTAGACTTAACTGAAAGGAAGACTTGTGAAGGCAGAGTAAGAGACTGGCAGATGGAAAGGAGAACTTTAATTGCACTCTGAGGCCCTCAAGGAGCACAAAGAGTTGCCTTTCATTCTGAAAGACTAAAATCTTTCAATTATTATTTAGCATATTCTAAGAGTAACTGCAACTACTCTTTCTGGTTAGGTGAAATCGAGTTTACGAAAAATTAATGAAATTTGAAAATTTTGATTTGCTTTTCTATACAACACAGAGATGTTACAAATTTAAAATGAATAATAAAATTGAAACAATTTAATCATGTATATTAGAATGTGATTAATGAAAATTTTCTCTTTCTTGATATGTAATTCTTAAATTATTATAGACAATGCAGTCCATATTTAGTATGTATGAAAATATTTTATCTGTGCTTCTGACAAAAATATGTGGTTTGGTAGAGACGTTTTTCTCTTAAGTATTCAATTATTTACTTCGTATCTATGTAATTTGGGATTGAAAATGCTATGAAAGGTGCTTTAATTTTCTGTTGGTCTTTAATGGTTCTTAAATGTAACATGAAATAGTTATTTCAGATGATCTCTAAGTTACCTCTAGATTTAACTTTCAATGAATCAAGGGTGGTGAAGATAATCAGATATATCTACTCTCTATTTGGGGGGACTTTCTAGCAATACAATGGCAGCAACTCCATAGAAGAAAAGTGAAAGAGTTACAAATGTATTAAATGTTCACTCTGTATATATGAATACCATTAAAAGGAAAAGGTAAATTCTTTGGATGTCCAAAGAATTATGTGCAAATAGAACAACAAATTAACAGTAATTATTTCTGGGTGGTGAGATTAAAAATGACATTTACCTATCTATCCATTTATTTTGTTATTTTTATATTTTTTGAAATTTCTCTGATGAGCATGTAAACTCTTAAAATCAGGAATAAAAAAGTTACTGGTTATAATAAGATTTCCCAACATTATTCTCTTAGATCTTCTGTGCCCCTCCCCACCCTCCCAAAAAAAACCCTGAAAACAACAATAACAATAAAAAACCAGGAATGACCTCAATAGAAGGGTCAATCATTCAGTTAAACCAAGATACCCAGAAGATGTTTCATCCATTTAAAGTATTTTATCACCGATTTTGATTCTCACCCAGAGGACTTGGGAGATGAGAAATGCTGGTTATATGAGCATATGGGTTTCAGGGTGAAGAGTAAATGCTGAGAAAGACATAATGTGGTGATGGGCAGGGAGGGATTGTCCTGCCACTGAAGAGTTGTGTTCTAACAGAGAAAATGGTATAAACAACTTACAAAACACTTGGATAGTCTGTGTTTTTTTGTCATCAATATTTGACGCAAACTTCTAAATGTTATTTTCCTTTTTGAATGCTTGATTAGGAAATGCATCTACAACCACGACTGTGATAGACAGCAAAAATGGATCTGTGCCCAAATCACCTGGAAAAGTGCTGAAGAGGACAGTCACAGAAGACATAGTGACGACATTCAGCTCCCCTGCAGCCTGGCTTCTGGTCATCGCTCTGATAATCACATGGTCAGCTGTTGCCGTTGTTATGTTTGATTTAGTGGATTACAAAAACTTTTCAGGTAAGCTCTACCAAATTTGGCTTTTAAGTTAAAAGAAACAATGTTCTCCCCAGTTCTGGTTTTGTTTCTCTTCACACCATCTTAGTGTAAGAAATGTGCTTGAGGGTCACTGAAATCAGTTTGCTTCTTCCCTTTTTCTATTTTCTTTCTTTCTTTTACTCACTGATTTCAAATGACCTTGATATTCTTATTTTTAGAGCTGAGCAAAGGCTAAATGTTGCATTTTCACAAAAATACTGATTAAAAAGCTTGGGTGGAGATTCAGTTGTGGGACTGGTACTTTATTAAGCATTAATAAAGAATACTATATAGGCTTTACACTTGGCAATATGAAACGAAACCAAACAAAAAACTTTTGGATAAATGGAAGATATTATAAAGTAATTTTAAGTCTCTCTGTCATTTGGCCCCAATCTTCTTTTCCAGACATACTCTTTGTTCCTCCCACCAAACCATCCTAGGTTTCTGAAAATATAAGGAATGTTAAAAGGATTTTCCCAGAATTAGTTGTAATGAAAGACTACATCTTGAGTGTTATGTAGGACTAATACAAGTTAGAAAACACAGATTTTCTTTATGCCCCATCCAGTCTTTGAGTACATTGCTCTTCTCTTTGTCCAAAGATTTATATTTTTAAAATTATATATGTGTATACAGCACATGTGTGTATGTGTGTTTGTGTGTATATGTGTGTTTGTGTGTGTAAGTTCCACATCATTGTCTTCTTAAGTAGTAAATATTTTTAAGGTTGGACAATTAATTTCCCCAAATCAATAAATGGGAAAACATTTGATTTTTCAATTATTTCCTTGAAAGGGACACCTATCCATTCAAACTAACTTGGTTAAAAAAGAGAGTTTGTGGTATAGGTACATAAATCTCACTGACACAAAGGAGAGCCATGCCCTATGAGATGTAAAGCCAATAGTAAGCAAGACCATCTCTTTGTCTCCATTTCTCTGTCCTTACTGTCTCCCTGTCTCTGCCTTCTTCTTTGTCTTTCCATCTGCTCCCTCTGTCTCTGCTTCTCCCTAGGACTCATCTTCTTTCTCTGTGTCTCTCTTGCCACTCTGTCTTTGCTTCTCTATGGCTATTCCTAGAGAAGAACCAGTAGAATGATAGGCATGCCCAAATAATTCTACCCCCCCATCATCAACGTGAAGAAACAATATTTGACCTATTCTCCCAAACATCAGCTATTGTGCACCACGGATAACAATAAACCAAACTTTGGCAACTCAGATCTTATGAAATGTTCTTATTTG